TATGGTTGTTACAGAAAAAGGAATTGCTAGGGAGTTCAAGTTCTGTTTGTATCTGGCGTATTTTACTCTGCTTTAATGTTCTTATGAAAGAAAAATCCCTACCCCCATCTATGGGTTAAATAGTGTGGGCTGAGCTCACTAGCCTTAGTTGACAACCACTCTCGAAGGACTTTCTTGAATTCAAAATCATGGAGATGTCTTTCTCAAAAACAGTCCTGCTGATTTACAATTTATAGATGTTAAAGAAAAGAAAGAAAGTTGTGGAGAACCATAATCACCTGTGTCCTTTATGGGATACGGGTTTTGTAAAGAAATAGTAAAAATATCATGATCCTTCAAGTATGGATTAGTACTTGTACCTAGAATCAGAGGGAAGTACCCATCAAAAATAATGTTTAAGCAATAAATCAAAACATACACACACACACACACATATACATATATATATATATATATATATATATATATTCGCCTTCCTCTCTACCAGGTGTTGATAGCTCAGGGGTAAAAACTCTGACTGATACCAAATCAGTTGGGTTTTGATCCCGACTTGAGGTAATTGGATGTCTGGCCACACTGATGTGCTGTGATACAGCTTAAACAATATATATATATATATATATATATATATATATATATATATATATATATATATATATATATATATGTCAGTTACAGGAAATGATTTTTTTTTTACATCCAAATAAAATTATAAAACAATGAAAAGATTTACAAAATATATATATTTCTTATACAATGTAATTTTTAGTGGCTCTGCATGTTTTGAGTAGACATCCATTTTTCTTTTTTTAATAGTGAAATTAGTGTCAACTGGCCTCGGTCAAGAAGTCCTACATGGACAGTTGATTCAGAAAAAACTAAAAAAAACCCAATGATGTCAGCTCAAACATGTTAACACATTAAAAGTAATGTTTATAATAAGAATTAATGTTGCATTAAAACAAAAACTATTAAAAAATATTAATGAGGATCGACATTGTGTCTTATGAAGGGACTAATGAAAAGTTCAAGGCTTTATTCAATTCCTAAAATATTCTGATGTTTTGAAATACCGATTTTGGGAAGTGGATCAGGCTGGGAATATTTTAGTACTCACCCATATGTATTTGGATTGTTAATTTTAAATTCTTGGCTTCAATAAACAATATAATAAAAGAAGTCCCAAAACTGGTTGTATTACATGCTCCTACTATGTGTCTAAACTTGTTGCAATAAAAAATGCAATAGTTGCATAATCTGTTAATGGATCTTTGTACAAGTCTGGTTTAATTAGATGTTTGTTATGAAAGTGTTTTGGTTGAAACCTAGAGATCTTGCTTAACATGTCTCTCTATTGAAGTGTCAGAACCACATACAGTCTTGAATTCAGAATTGTCCTTCACCTTAGACTGAATAACCTTGAGGGGGAGATACATACATACCTTTCACAAATGTATTTGTGCATAAGTGAATGTAGCTAACTTGACTGGAATTTGATCTCTGGTCTCTGATTTCTCATTCCAAACCACTATCCATTACACCATCTGCACATCACTACACTGGTTTAGAAATAGCAATAGGAAGTAGTTAATTTATAACACAAACACTAAGGACAGACATTCCAAGGTGTCTTGAAAATGTGTGTGTATATATAGGTCAACAGCAAGGAATATATGTTTTGTAAAGGCATATAAGTAGGTATCTAAAACTAAAATTTTACCATCCTGAGTATGACAATAGACTATATACAGCAGCAACAACACCTCTGATCAGGAGGTTTTGAGGCGGTGGAACCACCTCTTAATTACTGGTGTTCTCGGGTCCACCCTGACCCGGGGTAGTAGCACCTGACAAATAGTTGATACCTAAACTGGGGTCAAAACTCTATGAAAGTGTAAAAATCTGTTTCAATACCAGCAACACGTTTTTGTAATAAATTATTAGCAGCAATATATTTTTGGAAAATAAAAAATCTTGTCGGTATTAAATAACCCAGTCTAGCTACCATAGCGAAGAGCTCATCTGAACAAATATCATGAAAGTATTTATAAAAAAAAAAGGCACAGAGGCAACCTTACAGCAGTGGGCAAGTGACTGAAGCTGAGCTACCAGATCAGGACTAATAATATTGCTGATTCTTCTTTGGATCTTATTGAGGAGTTAATAGCAGACACACCAGACCATATATAGCAGCAATATTCTAAGCATGGATGAATGGTAGACTTATAGATATGTAAGACAGATTCTGGAGATAAAGATTGTCTTGCTTGACACGGTGATCCAACTTTCTTAGCAGCTGATCTAGCAATGGATTCAGTGTAGTCTTTTCACCTCATGTCATTTGAGAATGTTAGCCCGAGAAGGCACAAGGAGTTATTTTCTTGGAGGATAGCATCAGCCAGGCTGATTTGAGGCAAAGATAGGTCTCTGAGATGATTAAGGGAGAGAAGTTTAGTTTTGGAGGTGTTAAACTTGACAAGCCATCTTTTGCCCCAGTTAATGACAGTGTTGAGGTCGTTTTACACATCAGCTTATCTTACACATCATTTTTTTCTTTAAATACTGTTACCACAATAGAGTATTTTCTCATTTGGAATGTTGCAAAGCATGCCTCACAAAAAAAAGAAAATGTTTATGATTTTGATTTATTTATTTATTTTTTATAATAATTCCTTAATTATGTAATATTTGCAGTAATAATGGAGATGTTAAAATAAAACAACAGGAAAGAATTAAAAAAACAAAACAAAAAATAATCTTGACTGCTTTTCTTCTCTTATGAGAGCCCTCTCAAGAACTGGAAAGAATTTGCACAGCAAATAGAAAAAATCAAAGACAGGATGTTATATACTGAATATGATATAAAAAAGAAAAGAAACTCTCCTGTTTACAGAGTTGGAAGGACTTAATATCTATTCTCTCAGACCTTCAAAATAACCTTTGCTCAATACTAAAAAAATGTCTTGGTTATAGGACTTGACACTCAGTTGTTTAACTAATGTTCAGCTATCACCAAACCAGATATATTGATGTTTAAATTATGCAGATTTCCTTTCTGAATATTGGGTAGTGTATGTTGATTAATTCCAACATTTGACCTGTTCTACCTATACATGTTTTGTCTGTGTGTGTTGGATTTCTTATGTCTTGATGCCTGTTTCTCATGTCTGCCATTGCTTTCATTCAATTTCCTACTCTACCTCCTTTTTCATCAACCAGAAGGCTGTTAGTCTGTCTCTTAAAATCCTTGAAGAACTTACCAAAAGTATTGCCATTTTGATTTTGCATATTTTCTTGTCAGTTGAATTTTTTTTTTTTTTTTTTTTTTCCTCCCAGAGTCTGACCTTATATCTCTGATCTGGTTTTAGACATGAGACATCTCCTCCTACCATTCAATCCAACCAAATTACCAACTACAATTTCTTCCCCCAGTCATGTTGTTGGCAGTCCTTGTAGCAATTTCAAGTTATTAAGCAACAATTTTGGCAAAAGTTCATTGAAGTAATAGTGGGCCAAAGAGAAGGACAGCCATTATTTCAACATCAGAACAGCATTGTTTGTGTATCTTTCTTCCTTGTTCCGACATGGGAGAAAATGTTAACAAGTTCAAATTTATAATGTCACTTGCAGTGTCTGTACCCAAATAGTTTGGTTAAGGAAGATGTCATTGTTATTGGTGATAAACTGTTATTTTATAACTTCTAAAATCTTTTGAGTCTCATGCTAGCTCAAGAAAATGTTAATATAAGTTATTAATTTCTATAAATAATCCCACTTGCTTTTTATATAGTAATTCTGTTGGAACATTTTTCTCGCTCCTAGAAAATAATATTTGTGCATAAAAAAAACACATAGTCTGATGAGAAGTGCTTATTGAGGATTGTATCTTTAGTCCTCCACACAGGAAAAATGACAGCTTGGAGCTTGTTGTCAATCATGGATTATTCCTGTTCAATTTTGATCATTGAATTTTCTTACCCCTAAAATAGTTTAGATAGCAATTCTTTTTAAATGTTACATTAAAAAAAAAAGTTGTTTGAAAATGTTTCCTTTACTTTTGAAATTAAGGCATCTTTTTTATTTTATGGAATATTGCTGTCGTATATGGTCTGGTGCTACCGCTGTGCATCTTGAGGTCCTTGACAAAATAGATATGTAAGATGATAGGTCCTGATCTGGCATCTAGTCTACAATCACTATCCCACAGATGTGCTGTGGCCTCCTTCTGTCTCTTCTACAAATATTTTCACAGCAACTGTTCTAACAAGCTACTTTTGCTGGTTCCCAGACTACATGAATTTAAACGTGCTATCAGGCTGGCATCTCAGTCCTACCTTTTCACTGTCAAAACAGTTAAATGTAACCGTCTCTTCTTCTCAAGCAGCTTCTTCTCCTGCACTTCCTGCCTGTGGAACACCCTTCCCCTTACTTGCTTCCCCGATGACTATAATCACCAAATATTCAAGTGTAATGTCAATCGACATCTGACACCCTGAGTTTGTTCCCTGTCCTTCTCTGTATCCTTTCCCCAAACATGTCTCTTTACTCTTGTTCTCAATCTTCTGTAACCCTTTGCGTGCTAGTGGCACTCCCACCTTGCTTGGAGTGAATTGCCTTAAAAAAAAAAAAATTTACAGTTGGCCAATTGTCCTCATCCTTGTTATAACAGCATGTTGACTATAGTGCTCTTTTGTCTTTTCAGGTGTCTGTCAATGTCGAGGGATAACTTATGTAATAGTCTATAGGATTAAAGCATTTGTAGCATAGTAATTATGAGTTCAATCTCTGTGCTGGGTAGTACAGACTCTGTTGAAAGACAACTAAAATTAACAGAGCAGTTGTAAAAAAAAAAAATAAGTTATGATATCCCAAGACATAGACAGTGGAACATGAACAATGTACCCTTCCTAAATTAAATAAAGGGTTCAGTTTGAAATTATGATAATTCCTCATCCCAGAAAGTCAAGTAGAAATTCTTTTTTTTTTGTTTTATCTTTCAGGTAAAGGTAAACAAGTAGAAGTGCTTAATGTTCTGGCAGCTGGCTTTTTGAGGGGAGGGCTTGGCTTCCTGAAAAGTTCTGCAGCTGGAGAAATGATAAAAGGCAGTGGAAGTGTGAACAGAGAGATTAGAGTTGGAGTCACTCATGTAAGTAATTTGTAACACATAAAACTTTTTTGTCATCTTCATCAAAAAAATACATTTTGTTTGAAATTGAACCTGATAAGTCAAAATGCAGGAAGTCACATCAGCCACCTGCAACAGCAATGTGTATCCATTATGTGTAATGACTTTTTTTTTTATATGCATTGAAGAATACAGAGTTGGAGACTATACTTGCTTTTATTGAATATAAATAACTTTAAATTTAAATTTTTATTGAATTTAGGGAGTATTTTAATATTGTGAGAGAGAAGCTGTCTAATGTTATAGCTCTTGTACTTGTTAATATGTTGTCTCATTGCATTTAGTACAGATAAGAGGCATGTAAACCCGCATGAAAGAGTGGTTGTTGTGTAACCTCTGTAAGACAAATTTATTATTCACAGATACAATCTCCAATTAGACAAATAAGTTCATAAATATGTCTTCCTCCTAAAAATAGTTTAGACTTACTTTGATGGTTGATGGGCTGAGAAATATTATTTTTCAGGATTAAATTCCCTTCAGGCAATCTCCACAATTTCCAGTCCTTTATAGCTCTTAATAAATTATTTTTTTTTTTTTATAATAAATGCTAAATTTTATATGTATTTTTATCAACAAGTTTAATGTGTTTATATCCTATCTTTTTGTTGCAATTTCATCCTTTATGTAGTGGTGGTACTTTTGATTTTGGTAGAATATATTAATGACACTGTTATTAAACCTGAGAACTTGGATTTATATTAAAATTATTATTGTGTAAGTGAAGTATAATTTGATAGTCAACAAGGGAAACCATTAGTAAGTGTATGCTTTATGTTATTCAATTCCTTAAGAAAAATTGTTTTTGATGAATACATTAGCTTTTTGGATTCAATTATGACAGCAAGATTGCATATTTTAGGACATTTACTTTCTTAGTTTAGCAAGCAAGAATTAGAACTGGATGACTTTTTATATAGTAAAATGGACCCTTAATCAATAAGTACTTCTAGAAAATAATTTTTCTTTTTTTAATATTTAATTCAAAAGTAATTTTCTCTGTTCTATAATAACATTGATAGTTTTCATTTCTATAAAAATATCTATATCTATGTATCTTATATAAATGGTGGGTTTATTTTAAATAAATGTATCTTATATAAATGGTGGGTTTATTTTAAATAAATGTATCTTATATAAATGGTGGGTTTATTTTAAATAAATGTATCTTATATAAATGGTGGGTTTATTTTAAATAAATGTATCTTATATAAATGGTGGGTTTATTTTAAATAAATGTATCTTATATAAATGGTGGGTTTATTTTAAATAAATGTATATAAATGGTGGGTTTATTTTAAATAAATGTATCTTATATAAATGGTGGGTTTATTTTAAATAAATGTATCTTATATAAATGGTGGGTTTATTTTAAATAAATGTATCTTATATAAATGGTGGGTTTATTTTAAATAAATGTATCTTATATAAATGGTGGGTTTATTTTAAATAAATGTATCTTATATAAATGGTGGGTTTATTTTAAATAAATGTATCTTATATAAATGGTATTTTTAAATAAATGTATCTTATATAAATGGTGGGTTTATTTTAAATAAATGTTTATATAAATAAATTTTAAATAAATGTATCTTATATAAATGGTGGGTTTATTTTTAAATAAATGTATCTTATATAAATGGTGGGTTTATTTTAAAATAAATGTATCTTATATAAATGGTGGGTTTATTTTAAATAAATGTATCTTATATAAATGGTGGGTTTATTTTAAATAAATGTATCTTATATAAATGGTGGGTTTATTTTAAATGAATGTATCTTATATAAATGGTGGGTTTATTTTAAATAAATGTATCTTATATAAATGGTGGGTTTATTTTAAATGAATGTATCTTATATAAATGGTGGGTTTATTTTAAATGAATGTATCTTATATAAAATGGTGGGTTTATTTTAAATGAATGTATCTTATATAAATGGTGGGTTTATTTTAAATGAATGTATCTTATATAAATGGTGGGTTTATTTTAAATGAAATGTATCTTATATAAATGGTGGGTTTATTTTAAATGAATGTATCTTATATAAATGGTGGGTTTATTTAATTTATAAAAATATTTTAAATGAATGTATCTTATATAAATGGTGGGTTTATTTTAAATAAATGTATCTTATATAAATGGTGGGTTTATTTTAAATAAATGTATCTTATATAAATGGTGGGATTATTTTAAAATAAATGTATCTTATATAAATGGTGGTTTATTTTAAATAAATGTATCTTATATAAATGGTGGGTTTATTTTAAATAAATGTATCTTATATAAATGGTATTTTAAATAAATGTATCTTATATAAATGGTGGGTTTATTTTAAATAAATGTATCTTATATAAATGGTAAATTATTTTAAATAAATGTATCTTATATAAATGGTGGGTTTATTTTAAATAAATGTATCTTATATAAATGGTGGGTTTATTTTTAAATAAATGTATCTTATATAAATGGTGGGTTTATTTTAAATAAATGTATCTTATATAAATGGTGTTTATTTTAAATAAATGTATATATAAATGGTGGTTTATTTTAAATAAATGTATCTTATATAAATGGTGGGTTTATTTTAAATAAATATATAAATGTATCTTTATTTTAAATAAATGTATCTTATATAAATGGTATTTATTTTAAATAAATGTATCTTATATAAATGGTGGGTTTATTTTAAATAAATGTATCTTATATAAATGGTGGGTTTATTTTAAATAAATGTATCTTATATAAATGGTGGGTTTATTTTAAATAAATGTATCTTATATAAATGGTGGGTTTATTTATCTTAATTATTTGTTATTATTGATATTTTAATCATTTGGGACAAGGATACTTTTGTCAGACATCATATCATGGAAGTCACTTGTGGGTCATTCCAGGGCAGTTATTTCTTCCATTACCTTCATTACAATCTATAAATGGTTTGGAATCATTACTCAATTCCCTGCTAGAGTATAAAGATCTTGGAGAAAGATTTTTGGGCAGATATTACTTACAACTTTCCTTGCCTCTGTTACTATAAGTCATCTATAATTACTGTTCAGTTCAATATCAGAGTAAGAAGGAATGGAACAAAGAAGTTTTATGAAAGACATTTCTTGTCTTCACTATCTTCATCAGCATCTATGATTTGTTTGAAATGACTTTACTGTGAGATATCAGGTTTTCCCAAGTAGTTAATTTTTGCTTTGTCCTTTCTGTCTTTGATCAAACACAAAATTAATGTTTTGATAATTGTAAAATAAGTTAATCATCAATATCCACTATAATTTTAAGTTGTTTTTACAAGAACATAAAAAACTTAAATGGTATGGAGCCCTCATTATGCAATAACTATCTTATTTCCTTTGGGTAATTTGAATATGTAAGTGGTTTTACAAATAGTGGCTCAGAATAAGAAACTGTAGGGCCAAATTCAAATTCCACTCAGGTTCATTGCATTCGCTTATGTGAAGATGATGAGACAAAGTGGAAAATTTATTAACAACACATTTCTCCAAGGTCATTTACTCTCTTTGGTTTCCTCAGGTTAGAATAAAAGAAAGACAAAACTATATGTGAGGAAAAATGCCTTGGGATCTCTGCACTTATCCTCAGAATTCCCAAGGCATTTTTCCTCACATACAGTTTTGTCTAATATGAAATTACCCTTGTGATAAGTATGAACTCTTCTCCTCCCCCAGCTATGTGTTAAATAGTATCTGGAAAATATGTTTTGGCTTTCAATAATCTACAGAGAGTAGATAAGTTGTAAAACATCAATTAATACAAATAACCTAGAGGATAGATTTTGTCAGGATGATGTCCTTCACTGGCTGAAACCATTTTTTGATAATTATCCGTTCATGAAAGATGTTTGTGTTTTTTGTCAGTTTGGGCAATCAAAATATAGAATAGGGAAACATGATCTTTGTCTGCCATTTGTAAAATATCTGTGAAAATACTAACTATAAAATGTCATGATTTAGAGAAGATAATATATTCAGTCTCTCTGAAAATGATTTCTTTTCTTTAGTTGTCTCTTCTCTATCACAAATGCAGCATGTTGATTACACATGTTCTTGTTCTTCAACTTAGTGCTCTTTGAAATGGCCTTGTACAAAACTGTATCACTCTTTTCTTTCATATTCCAATTGTAAAGAGGAAGTTCCACAGACAGCTTTTCCCCAAGAACTGTCATTTTGTGGAACAGGTTCCTGCATGTATGCTTCTCTGAATACTACAATCTTAATGTTTTCAGATCAAAGATCATTCATTATCTATCCTCTTTATATATTTTCTTTATAACCTTCATGCCTCATTCAGTCAGTCAAGTGCCATATATGATACATGCTTGGGCAATCATGTATCTTTTGATACATGACTGATGAGACAGATTTTTTTCCCATAGTAGGTTGCCATTTCTTTCTGTGGTAGACTGGTTGCCAACCAAGGCTAAAGAACCCAGTCTGCCTACTATTCATAGGTGAAGAGAGAAGAGATGGATTCATTCAGGTTATTTGTGTGTAATCGAATCTAACGATCTCAACTGGAATTCGAACTTGGCTCTCCAAGTTCTCACTCCAAGGTGATATCTATTACACCACAATCAGTAACCCTCTATTTTGAGTAGCACTCAAGACTTGTATTGGGTGAACTTTAGTATTTTAAAAAATTATGTACATAATGAAACAAAAATTTTTTTTTTTTTTTTTTTTTTACAAACCATTAAAAGACTTTCCAAGATTTGAATATTCTTAACATGCAAAAGCACAGTTTGATATAAAATAATATTTTTTTCTCTTTTTCTTTAGGCTTATGTGGAATATGTAAAATGTATGGGTGGCCTCTGGCTGGAACGCAATATTCCTGTATTTCTGAACCATGTGCTGAATCTGGTGGGCAGCCCAAAGGCCACGCCAACACATGTCGATGCTGTGTATGCACGCAAATGTGTCTTGTTCATTCTGCGCTCTACTATTGGGGCCCTCCTGGGAGAAAAAGCCCAAATTGCCGCTGCCAAAGAAATCTCCCAGATTATAATCAAGCAGATGAATGCTGTCGGTAAGTTATACTTTTCATTCTTTTGCTAGATATTAAATGATTTTTTAATTGATGTCTTGGCTGTTCCCAGTGTTCAATTGTTTTATTTTATATGGATTTTATTTTTGGAGTTGTTAATGTAAATGGAATATCACAGTAAGGATTTATTTTACTCATGTGAAAACTTTAATTCCTTTTAATTACATATATTGTAACATAACCCAAACTAAAAGCACGTTTTGTAACATTTAATATCTTCAGAACCAAGCAAGTAACATTTCATTGTCACAGAGCAGAACCTGAGTTTTCTCCAGTCATGCTGAATGGTTGTACCCAAAATAAGACTTTTTGCTATAGACGTTTATTAGGACTCAAGGTCACCCTAGACCACAAATGAAACCTGATCTCTCTGCTGACCTAGATCTAACAGGGTCACTTCGACATGGTGTGATGGTTAGCAAGCTTGTTTCGCTACATCAGTTATAACTGAGTAGCAAGTTTGATACTCACTGGGTGCTCTATACTTTCGGCCTTGTGCCACACCTAAGCTATGCTTAGAAAATCATGAACACTTTAACATGGTGTAACAGTTAGCAAGTTTGTCTTGCAAGATCAGTTGCAACTGAATAGTGAGTTCGATCCTCATTTTTGTCAAGCATAGAAAAATGTACACTGAAAACCTGCTGAAATCTAGGCTAACCTGAATCTGGCATTTGACTGACAGTCCACTATATGCTGCCACTTTCAGCTTTCCCACTCTCCACTGGCGTTTGCTGTCAATTATCTTGATCTCATTTTAAAGAGAAGCATGTTTATCATTCTCTTTTCAGATATGTTATACTAGATATAATAACATCAAGAACAGGAAGAAGTTCAATTGTATGATCAGAATTGGAAATATTATTAACTCTTCTCAAAATCATAGAAAATGTACAAAATGTGTTTTGATGGTTATTTTCTCATACAATGGAAAAGAAACATGTATAACATTTATATATATGTTCAAGAGTCCGTTCATAAAAAGTTAAAAACTAATAATCTTTTCCATTATATATTTAACTTACATTTTTAACCTTTACTAGTGACCTACCATCAGAAGCTCCTGATGTTATATAACAGGGATACTCAGTTTCTTTGTGTTTAATGCACACTTTGTTTTTTTATTTTTTTAACAATGATGTTCACTCTGTACAAGGCCCAAGAGCTATTCGAGGTAGAGGGCTACAAAGTAAGAAGCACAATTTATGTGGGGAAGATAACAATTTTTTTTTTTTTTTTTTTTTTTTTTTTTTTTTTTTTTTTTTTTTAAGCCACCCCAAGCAAGGTGGGAAGCCACTAGGGACGCAGGGGTACAGAAAATTTGGAGCAAGATCAGATAGGAGTGATAGAAGAAAGGATGAGGAGAAGGGTAGTGAATAGATCAAGGCAACTGGAGATGTCGACTGACATTACATTTGAATAGCTGAAGATTATAGCTCTCAGGGAAACTAGAATAGGGATTTTGACGCTAAACTTGAACAGGTTAAGATTGTAATGATCAGGGAAGCATCCTCTTGAGAGTCGCAAAACGGTGGTGTGTGGGAAGAAGCTGCTCAAATGGAACTGATGGAATATAAAGGGAATGAAATTGTTTCGTTACAATCTGTGTAACATGATGCATCTTAGCCATGCAGATTAGAACTGGTGGAACTAAGGAATGTAGTTTGTCTGAACACTTTCCATGGAAATAGGTGATAGAGCTGTGTATGGCTTGCTGCATTTTGTCTGAGAAAGGGGTTGTAGGGTAGATAGTAATTAGTCACCCACATGGAAGCGGAGATGCTTTATGTCTCTATTAAAAATAGGAAGTGAAGACTGCTATAGCTGTTAAAGAACTTGTATCTCACCAATGGACTATGAAAGTAATAAGGGTAGTTTGTTTCAATGTATGTAGCATGGTGTGTCTTTGCCATAAAGGTTAGTACTGATGGAACTAAGGAATGTAGTTCGTCTGGGCACTTTCCATGGAAAAAGCAATAAGATGTAGCAATGGAAACGGTGAGAACCCAGTAACATTTCAGGGTGGAAAAATAATTTGTCACCCACAAAGTTTTTAACATATTTCAGAATGGTATTTTCTCACTTTCAGGAAGATCAATATTCCAAGAGTTTGAATTGGCCAATTCCTTCATCAGCTGGAAACCATAAAATTTCTGCCTGTGAGGAATTCCTCTCTAGTTGAAAATCACTGTAATTTAGTGTCAACACCTTTTTTGCAATGATGTCAGAACCAAACTTAACCCATATAGATGTCAGTTCACCAGTCATCTGAATTTTTGTCTTTCAGGAGAAGCTGTAATGGAAAATAGTGATGGAAAATCCCAAGCTTCTGAGGTAGCTGCCAGCCAACATGTGCTGGTCTGTGCCCTGCACGAACTGGGCAGTCTTGTACAGCGACTTGGCTCTTCTGCCAGCCCTTTGGTTGCAGAACCAGCCACTGGTGAGTTCCACATTTTTTTTCTTTTTCTTTTCTATTATACTCTGTTCTTTAACATGGTTTAGGTCTGTATGAAACCATACCATACCAATGGCAAACTTTACTTATAGATAATACCAAGTTTTGGTTAACCCTAAGCATCAATAAAGTACTAGTAATGTAAATAACCTTATTTGTTTATTACATTTTATTGTTAGAGCATAATTGTGTCATGCTTAAAAAACGAAACACACACACACATTGGATCTAAATGGTTGTGCTTATTGAAGGTCTCATGAACTCGTTAATGTAAAAATAACATTAAAAATATTGCATCTGCAAAAGTCAGATCAAAAGGCTTAAATTTCAGGCATATGCTGGATCATATTTATTCATTATCAATTTCTTTACCAGTATTTCTTTCATCTTGACTTCAGATGTTATGGCATTCTCAGAGTTGCAAGAATAATAATAAAAAAAAAAAAAGTTTGAAATTAAGATACTGCTCAAGAAATTACACTGCCCAGCTTGCACACTTAAAATTTGAAAAAAATGTGCTTTCTTAATGCCAATACACATATTGCACATTGTTTAAAATAAAAACAAGGCATTTATTTCAAACATAGGTGTCCACTAAAAATAAAATTGGATTAAAAATAAGTGCTATCTTTTGAGATTATTTGTGTACATTTCATTTCTCTTTTTTTTATTTTTTATTTTTTTTCTGAGAAAATCTCAACGAGAAATTGTGAATTCTTTTAGAAAGAGTAAATGACGGTTTTTGTGCTGTGATTCTGTCTGCGGCTGAGCAGTTGGAGCATGCTGGATCTGATGGCAGTTTCTCCTACAATGGGGTAGATTTAAACCCTACTGGAGAGCAAGTTTTCTTGAGTGTGAAGACTGATAGAAAGAATGCATACTGTTTAAATTAAAAATAAAAAATAAACGGGGGGGTATATATTTCAAACATAGGCATCCACTAAAAATAACATTTGAAGTAATAAAAAATTGGATTAAAAAGGATTAAAATAGAATATATATATATATATATTATTTATATATATATATATATATATATATATATATATATATATATATATATATATATATAATATATACTATATATATTATATATATATATATATATATATATATATATATATATATTTATATATATATATATATTTATATATTTATATATATATATATATATACACTATATATATATATATCTATACATACATATATATACATATATATATATATACATACATACATATATATATATATATATAGAATAAGACAACCTGCTCCATTCATTTATATTTTACTTCGCATGTGAGATTCAGAATGATGAGATTGTCGTTCTGATGAGATGAACATCTCGGTGTTCATGAAATAAAACTTATTAACAAAATGGATAGTTAAAGTCTCCATCTTCTTCTTATCATTATAATACTCTGTAGTCTACATTGAGCTCTCCCTGGATTTATATCCCTTCCAGTTACATACTAGTAAAACTTATATATGTATATAAATAAATAAACTGGATTTGTAGCAATAAACAAAGTAATAATACGTGTTAGAACCTATAATAAAAATTAAGAAGTTAATGTTTATGGCTTCCCCAAGTGGCCATTGTTCACGCTATAAATGTAAATGTTGTTTTCAATTTTAGGGGAGTGAAAAATGGGCATGGCTGTTTTTCTGTCTAGGAAATTTTCAGTTTAGCTAACCTGATTGACTCCAACCAAGTGTCCACTTTATCATCATACTCACATTGTAAACTGAGCTTTTCATTCTAAAAACTTAAAATGGTTTTAGAAATTTCAGCTGGGTATCTACTTATGCAGTTACAGATAAAGATTCAGACACAAAGGGTCTAGTTTAACAATATACTTTGTAAATTGAACCCTTCATTAAAATTTGAAAATTTTTTTGAAATTTTCAAAATTTCATGTGCTAAAAACATGCTGTAGTGTCTAAATAGTAATGAAAAATGTTTAGTGGAAATAGCACTAGTTGTCCTTGAGTTATATGATGACAGATGGACCAAAAAAAAAAGCATTTGATAAACTAGTCAAATAATTAAGCAATTAAAATAAGTTGGAAGTCGGTTACATCAGGTTTTTTATTAAAAAATATTTTTGTTCATTCCTAACAGAGCAATCTCTTTTAATAACAAAATCCAATTTCTATTCACAGTATATCAATTCATCTCTTTTACTCTTTGTTGCTGTTCACATACAAATGAAATACTTGTCATTATTAATATACAAGAATTTGGGATGTTTTCTGATGACATTTTAAATAAGAATGTCTTTATTGATTAGTCATGAACCATTTCTACATAGATTCTATTCACGATTACAATTGAATCATTTTAGCAACCAATTATATTAATACGTATCAGCATTTATATTTTATTAGATCTTTCTACTGTACAATGACCAGTAAATATAGTTTGCTCAAATCAATTATATTTATATGAAGATTATGAAAGGAGTAATATATTTAGAAAATAATGTTTACTATTCACTCTAACATTGTTCTGCCTGAAAAAAGAATACTTCTGGATAATGTGGAAGCTAAAGATGCTTTAGAAAAGCTAAAAGTATTAACAGAAAAAAAATCATTTGAAATAAAGAAGAGTGCTAAACTATGTAATATCAATTTGCCTACATGACAGTGAATGCTGGACAATTTCCTCACAGATGAAGAGGAAACAAGGCAACAATGATATAGTTCTACAGAAAGATGCTAAGAATATCATGGAAGTAGTATGTGGGCAATGAGCAAGTTTTATGGAGAATGTAAACAAAAAAAGACATACACAAAATCAGAATGAAACAGTTGAAATTTCTGTATCTGTCTATATTTCTGAGATAAGGTATTATGTACACTATTTACATTATTTGGACTATTGTCCTCATCTTTGTTGTTATATTTATTAACAACATTTTGGCTGTTGTATGCTCCAGCCTTCTTCAGGCAGTTGGAATGTCAAACTGAACCCTTTATTTCGCTCACTGGGATGGACTGTTCTAGTTCCACGTGCCATGTTTAATGGATGTCAGTTATCAGTTAATTCCCCTCACCAAATTCTCCACTGCCATGACCGGGTATTGAACTCACACTCTTTGGGTCCTGTCACTGGATCTAACCAACGCGTTTATCCACTGTGTCATGTGTCCTTGAAATTTCTGGTACACAAGATGAAGAAGGCTAGTAGAATTTGACACTCACAGGATATATGGAAGGCAGAAGTGAAACAAGAAGAAACCTATCTCATTAGTTTCTGTAAATGGATGATAGAACAGTGAAAGTAAGGGGACAAACATTGGTTAGGAATTTGTGGAGAGCCACATCCTGGGACATCAAAGAAGAGCAGCTCAACTTGGTGCTTCTCAGTGTGTGGGCTAATATTTTATTAGAGGAACTGTGAACTTTTAATGTGAACGGTAAGGGTTCAAGGGAGATAGTGGGGGTACTATAATTTAAACTGGAAAGTAAGATGTTGTAACCATTTGAACCCTGATTAGAACAAGTTGTGAAATCTTAAGTCTGGCAATTTCTCTGATTTGGCATATTGACCACCACTTGGCTGTTCCCACCACAGCTTACTTTTAGTGACTGGTGCTGTTATAATGCAACATAGACAGGTGAGATTAATTCTGTTGCATGAACTCTATTTACCAGTGCAATTTTAATACAAGTGGGTGCTTAGATATTTGAACAAAGGTTTTGGAGAAAAAAAAAAGCTTAAGTAGCACTGTTTAAGACAGAAGGAACAGGAAAAGTACACACATGACTAAATAATTAAAAAAAATAATTAAAAAAAATGACAAAAAAAATTTTGTTTTGTTTTTAAATTGTCAAATAGCTTTTATCGGTTTAACAGAAAACTATGTTAACTTAAAAGTTAGAATATAATTCTTTGTTACTTAGATGTGGATCCTTGTACCAAAACTAAGGCATCAAGTGGAGATTGAATTCAAAACTTTGAAGTGAAACTGACTTGTTTACCTTTATACTGTTGTTACAATGGCATAAAATGTGTTTATCATTGTATAATTATTTATTCATTTTTGTCACAAGTCTGAAATATTCAATGAAGATTGAATTCATTTCTTGGTAGTAATGACTAACTTTCTAACACTTATTTCATGCTAACTCACAATTAAACCATTAATGCCTACTGTCCCAAAAATGGGACAGAGGTTATTAATGGGTTATAGGGAGGCCCCTATAATTGCTACCAGATGATGTTTTCATGAACCTATAATTATCACTGGTTGATGTGTTTCTGAGCCTGAAGCTGATATTAGATTTTACAGTGAACATTAATGGTTTAAAGTTGAATATATCTCTTTTCTTAGTGCATTTAACAAGAATTAAGGGCATATATTATCTAGTTAGATTAATGACGGAATTAAATGCTATAATATTCTTGACTGACTCTCTTGGGTATTTACAAAGTTCAGCTTCAAAGCTATAGCAGTAGGGTGGACGGTACCCAGTAAAGATTAAACTGACTCAACTAGCTAATTGGTTCAGAAGACCAACTTACTAAATTTTACTCTATGGAAAGCACTCATATGAATGTCTCTGTACTTCAGATTGATCAGTTTGCTAACAAAATTGATGAAAATTAATACTATTATTATTATTTTACAAATTAATTGCATTTGGACAATTATCTCCATCTTTGTTATTATTACAATGTTTTGGCCATTGTACTGTCGAGCCTTCTTCAGGTGCTTGTCAATCTGGGTATCAATCTCTCACTTTTTTTTTTTTTTTTTTTTTTTTGCACATGCTTACTTTTGAGTTTTAGACAGGCTGAGATAATTCTTTTTGGGAGAAAAGTCTAATCATTCTTGGACAATATATTTGATTACTGAAAATTATATATATAAAAATAGAAATTCTGCCCACTCCTTTTATTCTAACCCTTTCATCTATTTGAAATTCAACTCTAATTTGGTTGCAAAATAACTGTTTTATAGAGTCATGAAAGCAATGTAAATTATTAGTGTTCAACATAAAATGGCTAAATGTAAATTTAAGCTTAACAATCATTTTTTATTCCACTTATATTTTGCTTTTAGGCTGTGCTGGAGGAGTGGGGTGCCCACCACTGCAAATTGCTACAAAATCAAACATTAACCTAAAAATTTGAGTCTTTTTCTTAAATAACCTTGTCAGATGAAGACTTTATGGATGTCCTGCATGGCACCAATCCAATTCATATCTAAATTGTCAGCTGTATACAACTGCTTTCTCCAGTTGATCAATAAAAGTGCCTTTGAATGATTGAATCCTGTGGGTCTTAGCATGGACCATCCTTCTTCAAACCCTGTGGACTGGTGTTACAGAATCACAAAGAAAGAACTGTACCAAATACTGGAAACCATATCACTTAAAGATTTAACATCAGAAACAAGTAAAATGGGTGTCAAATGTAGTTCAAACAGAAAATAACAACATAATTAAGATATTGACGTTCCACTTTACTTTGAACAAAAGGTTAGGAAAGAAATCCCCATTGGTACAAGAAAGAGCAATAACAATTATTAAATTTGAGAAACCTATTTTTCCAAAATATTGTTTTAAGAGAAATATTTTATAAATTTCAGCTAAAAGTGGAACTGGCTTCTTAGACAATGCTGAACATTTCCTTATAAGGAAACGGCTAATTTTAACATTACCATTAGAAATGAGAACAGATACATTTTGATTCTATTCTGATGGCCAGGGAGTAAAGTAAAGTATAACTTGAGTAGCACTGGCTATAAATGCTTCAGGTTTCCTTATAAGGAAATGGCTAATATTATTATTACCATCTTGTGTGCTACTAGCTTATTACATCTCTTTACCTGTGATTCAAAACATGTCTCTCTGGTCTACAGTTTAAGGGGTGATATAAAGGTAAATATGGAAATACCTTAAAAAATATTTTTTTTTTAAAAGAAACTTTACTTTTATGAAATTGTTGATTTATGTAATGAATGTTAATTTTACATTATTGATTACTGTTCACATCGGCAATAGTCTGTAAATAATGGTAACTCCAAATCCCAGGAATTCAGGCAAAAAGTTAATGTCTCCAAAAACATGCTGAAATTTTAAAATTCATTTGGAATTAAAAAGTTAAAGATTAAAATACATCCAAAATTGGACTCTTCCCTTACATTATTGATGTTGCCACTACTTATTCAGCAGATTCTTTAAGCTTTCTTCATGTGCAATGAAACAGAACCCTCCCATCTTGTCTCAATTTTTTAAAATATATTACTCCTATCACCTGGTTCAGTTCATTCCTAGCAATACAAGTCGCATAATAATGTTCACTGTAACATTTATATGTTGAAAACTCTTATTAATTACCATTCTCTTAGCCTTGAAACATCATTTTTGAAACTTTAGGAAAGCAAGTTTTTTTTTTTTTTTTTTTTTTTTTTTTTTTTATCCCCAGAGATATTCAAAATGAGTTTTGAGGTCAAAGAAAGTAAACTTTTTTTTTTTTTTCCAAATTTAATCCCAAGCAAGGTGGGAAAGCCACTAGTATGCAGAGGGTTACAGAGAGTGAATGTGAGAGAAAAGACTGGGTATGAGAGGGGGGGGTATTGAGGAAAGGATAAAAGCTGAATGGGGTTCAAGAAGATAGATGGTGATTGACATTGCATTTAAATTTTTGAAGATTGTAGTTATCAGGGAAGCAATGAAATAGAAGGGAGTTCCACAGGTGGGAAGTGCAAGAAAAGAAACTGTTGGAGTAGAAGTGGTGGTTACATTTACCTAATTCAACAGTAAAAGGGTGGGATGTAGATGCCAATTTAGTAGCATGCTTAAACATGAGTAGTCCACGCACCAGGGAAGAAAACTTGTCAGAGTAGTAGCCATGAAAATATTTGTGGAAAAGACAGAGGGAAGCTACATCATGTCAATGAGAAAGTGAAGTTGAGATGCCAAGTCAAGATCAATTACATTACAGATTCTTCTTTGGATTTTGTCAAGAACCTCAAGATGAGTAGCAGAAGCACCTGATATATTTTTTAAAACTTTAAGAAAACAACTTTATTTCCTTTGTTGGGAAAACTTTCCAGCCATCTCTTCTCCCAGCTGGAGATAAAATTGCAGAGTAGATTGAGGCTTCTAGACTTGGTAGGGTAACTCATCTAGAAGATAGGCAGCTATGAATTCAAACCAAATCCCAAGTTTGTGTATGTGTTGTAGAGTAATTTCACAGTGGAGGCTTGTATTTCACTAAGTCGGTCCTAAAATAGGTTCGACGTACAAAACGTTAGGAACTTGATATAATAAGGTAATGACGCAGTAATCTAGTTGTGGTGGCTGATACTTTAATATCCGACTAATGGTCGTCCGACATTGACTGACTGACCAACTCCCCGAGCGACTCAGCGACTGCTACTGCTCTTACTTATTATAGGTGGGAGAGTCTATTAACTATAGAATAGGTGTGTTCTACTATAACAGTATGGAAGATGGCAACTCCACATTATAAAAAATCTATTTACTATTTAAACCTCAGAAGCGTCATCAATGGTATGGTGCGGCTATGATCCACAAGATGTGTGTAAGGAATAAACAAAATCATAGACTTTCTTATCAGGTAGATTACTTCTCCAACTGACATACCTTTTCTATCATAATTCAAATCTATATTCAGCCTGATTTCATATTTTAATAGGTTTGCTCCCTGAGAGTTAATTTTACCAGTATAAATGGTTATATTGCAAACAAATTCTCTCTATATTAATTTTTTTTACCTTCAGGGGTCATCGAGCCTGTTGTGTCTGTGTTGATCCACCCAAGCCATGCTGCTCGCTTGGCTGCTTCATGGTGTCTGGGCAGCATTGCTGTGGCCCTGCCCTCACAATTATCACCATTGCTTGATAGATGCATGGAAAGAATGGAAAAATTAAAGAATTCTCCAGAAGCCATCTCCGGTTACAGCAGTGCATTGGCTGCCCTCCTGGGAGGTGTCTACCAGTGCCCTCTAGGAATCCCTCACATTAAAGGGAAGGTAAGTCTGTCTCACTTAAAATAAGTGAGCATTTAATAATTTTCTATAACTTGTATTCATATAATACTTTCAAAATAATTTAATGAACTGCCAAGTCTTTATTTTCTATTCTCGATAGTTGTAAAATGTCTCTACGTCTGTGGGTGAGGAATTATTTTCCAACCTACAACCCCTTTCAGACAGATGAGACATTGCAAGCTTCTCACTGTTCTATAGCTCTTTCCATGGAAAGAATTCAGATGAACTGCAGTCCTTAGTTCCACCAGTCCTAACCTTCATGGCTAACAACTGTCATGCCATTCAACATTGTAACAAACATTCCCTTTGTATTCCTTTGGTGAGATGTAAGTTCCATTCAAGCAGATTCTTCCCATGAACCACTGTGGGACCAACTCCCAAGAGGATGCTTTCCCAATCATTTCAATGTTAACCTGCTCAAATCTAGGGTTAACTGTTCTGTTCCGCACATGTCTGCGTAAGTTGTGCTACTTGCTCTGTATTCTTCTACCTTAAGTGGTTCTTGGGACTTATACAGTGTCAACATCATTGTAAAAAAAATTAAAAAATAACATTTACATGTCAGTGTATATCACCAAATATGTTGTAGCAAGTTACACAAAAGTAACTGAAATTTGAATATGACATTTGAACTCTACCTAATTGTGCATTATACTATACTAGCTTAAAAGTCGCCCTGTCGAGCACTATTTAAGTTAGCTCCTGCAGAGGGCTCTTGAGTGGGCTTTCATCACAAAAGGAAGAGAAGAGTAGATGCAATAAGCCATAATAAACTGCAGAACTCAAAATTGATCGCTGCATTTAAGTATTGCATTAATACTTAAGCTTACTTTTTAAAAGTTCAACAATAATTTTCCTGCTGCTACTTAATTTGATATACGTAGGTCCTTACTTTCTGTACAAACAATTTTTTTTATTTCATGGGTGACTTTTGCTGGATTTCACAATTAATTTTGATTATTCTCAAATTTATTTACAAATTATAAAAATTGTTGTTGTACAAAAATATTTGTTGCAAAAAATCATGTAAAAACATCGCCAAAAACCATCACAGTAATGAAAACTTGTGAATCCAAAATTTCAGGATTGCGCATCCAGATCTGGCCTGGAATATTTTTAATTTGCTCATGGAGTCGGCCTGTTGGGCTACAGCCTCTAGGAGTAAAGTTGAAAAGTTGTGACACAGTGACATTCACATTTATTATATAGGAGATGTTCTGATTTTGGGCAAGTCTACCATTTAGTAAGTTTCTATTTATAATAGCATGTAAATGGCAATTTGGTATAACATCTATACAAGTAATGTTAACTTTCACTTGAAACATTATTTCTCTCTTTCTGAACACTTGAAACACCATTAACTCCTGGGGTTGGCTGGGGTTCTATTTTATTTTCTTCTTCTTAACAATCTTTGGCTCATTTATTTTAATTATAAAGATGATGTTCGTAGAAATGGGTTTGTAATGATTTCACTGTTATGTACATCATTTTTGGCCCCCATTCCCAGCAAAGAAGCTATCACTTTTACATATGTTAGTAACATAAAATTGATAACATTACCTTTTTAGCAAAGAGGGTGGAAAGTAAAATGGTATCACTAGTGTTTGCTGGTTCCCTTTCATTTCTCAAATTCAGCACAGATGTATTTTACAAGAAAACTAAAACTATAAACAGATCGAGGAAAAGAAATTACTTTTTGAAACTTTCACACGGAATTAAAAAGAATTTTCTATAATTTTTTTTTCTTGTCCTCACCCATTCTTTTCTTCCCTTACCCTCTCCCCACTTCCTCATTCCTTTTCTGTCTCTTCTGCTGTCCCCCCCTTCTGTCTCTTCTGCGGTCGCCCCCCTTTCTGTCTCTTCTGCGGTCGTCCCCCCCCCTTCTCTCTCTTCTGCGGTCGTCCCCCTTCTGCCTCTTCTGCGCCCCCCCTTCTGTCCTCTTCTGCGGTCGCCCCCCTTCTGCCTCTTCTGCGGTCGCCCCCTGCCCCTTCTGCGGTCGCCCCTGCCTCTTTCTGTGGTCGCCCCCTGCCTCTTCTGCGGTCCCCCCCTGCCTCTTCTGCGGTCGCCCCCCCCCCTTTCTGTCTCGCCCCCCTGCCCTTTCCTCTAAAGTTCTGCCCCTTCTGCGGTCGCCCCCCCCCTTTCGGTCCCCCCCTGCTTCTGCGGTCGCTTCCCACTTTCTGTCTCTTCTGCGGTCGCGCCCCCCACTTTCTGTCTCTTCTGCAGTCGCGCCCCCCACTTTGTCTCTTCTGCGGTACATTAATAATCAGGTGTATTTGGGTAGCAGTTTTTGTACTTGATTAAAGACCAATGAAAGGTTTTTAGTTGTTGTTTATATATATATATATATATATATATATATATATATATATATTAGTTGTAGCATACCTACGGATGATAATGGGTATGTGCCCATTCACGCAAATACAGTAGTAAATACTGTATGTTGGTCTGCAGTTGGAGATTCATTGTGGAATTCTGTTGACTACTTCTATGTGCCACTGGTGAATGTGTTGTTCTTGTCCGAAGTATTATTGTTCATTGCCAACCTTCGTTTGATTATTCTATTCAGTAACCTTCCTGAGGTTACCACACACGTGTGTGTGTGTAGCCATTTTCTTGGTGTTCAGTAAAATTATAAAAGCCAAAATTACTCAGACATAGGATAATTTATATTTAAACTTTCACCAGATCCACTCACTCATCAAATGCTCTTGGTCTGAAATATAGAAAAAAAATATACAAAATAATTTTAACAAAAAATTTCTGTTGGTCTTTAACCAAATTTTTATAACAGTAATAATGTGCTTTCCAACTGATGTTCCCATCTCTGCAAATGGTTGTCTGCATAAGAAATATTTATATTTTGCAATATTCTTTTAGATTTTACAAGCATTTATCTTGTAAAATCTGTAACACCAAAGAGTATAAAGAGACAACTTTCAATCAGTAGATAGAAATTAAGTTTTGCTTTTTAGATCATGAAACTTAACACCACTCCATCTAGTTTATGTAAACATGGCTAGTTTTTAGCAGATGATTCACAACCCAAACTAACCCATGAAGTTTGTTACAAAGCCAGCTCAAGCAAATTTATTTTTCTAATCATGTAATTTCTTTCAATTTCAGCAAATCTTTTCCATAGCAGAAGAATTATTGAGAACAGCATCCCAGAACAGTCGTCTTTCTCTACAGCGGACACAGGCTGGCTGGCTCCTCCTTGGAGCGCTCATGACACTGGGTAAGAAAAATTATGCACAAATCCATTTAATATTACTTCTCTTTCTTCTTTAATGTCTTTTGTTCCTTCATGACATGGGCAGTCATGGCTTTCTTCAACTTCTTGTAGCCTCAGGCAACTTTTAACTCTTTATCGTCCCTCTTTGTCTCCACTCTTCCATCCATCCATACAAATCTGTTAGGTCACTTGCTGTTTCCCCTCTGCTACCCTTGCCTTCAATATGTGCTGTGTGTATCAAATTCTCCAAGCTCTCTTTCCTCCTCATGTGTCCCATAAATTTCCACACTCTTTCTAATTGTAAGTATAAATGTCCTTGTTGTTTCTACTTTCCTTAATACTTCCAAGTTGTTCGCATATCCCATCCATGGTTGAAATTGCTAAAGACTTAAGTTGTTAAATCTGAAAGAAAATAAAAATATCATTAGACGCATAAACTTAATTCACATTTAAAAATCAGACCAACTTATTGAAACACTATCTCTCTCTCTCTCTATATATATATATATATATATATATATATATATATATATATATATATATATATATATATATATATATATTTAATTATTGAATTAATTATTAATTAATATTAATTAATTATTGAACAATATAGTTCATGCCACATTGACGGAAAACCTACCAGTACAAAAAAAAAAGAATTCTCTTATTACTATATTTGTACAAAAAAACGCACAACCTTAAAATTTAAAATTCAAACTCAGCTGCCAGGACCGCACGTTCCAAAAAACAATAACACATTTCTCATAGCATTTTTTCGGATTACATCTATATTTTCATTGTCCTCTTATTACCGAGAAGTAAAAAACAAGAACAAATCTATTTCCATACCTGAGAATGTCTGTAGGAACAGAGGAAAGCTTGTAAAAACTAAAAAAGACCTTATGAAACTTGAATTTATAAACAGGGATCATATCATTCATATACATGTTCGGGGTTAGTGTATCTTATTGAAATTGTTTGCGAAATTGTATTCCTCGCCATTTAAATCATTAACCTCTATATTTGTTTTTTGTATGAATGATTCATGTAATTATATATATATGTGTGTATGTGTATTTATTTTTAATTCAGCATTTTTATTCTTTCAAATACTATTGTTAGTGGATACTGATGTTTCAAATAGACTCCCTGTTTTTCATTTTATTTTTAAACAATGTATTTTGTCTTTCAGTCTGTTCACTTGAGAAAACTTAAAGAAAATATGTTCTGTGGCAGGGCTCAAAAATGTGGCTAATCACAGCCTGGCAAATTTCTGTTGGCTCTTTTAAGGAATGCACACATTCTCATTCAGATTTTCTCAAGAGCCCATATCTGCTCAGTTCTATATCCGAAATGTAAACAAACCAATTTCTAAAGAAATAACGGATTTTATGTTTAATTCAACATTTTTATTACTGAGCAGATTTGGGTTCTCAAAAAAATCTGACATTTTTATTATTGAATGGATACGCCTAATACACACCATTTGAAGATCAAATAGATAGTGGGCATCTATTTCAAACATGGGTATTCGATAAAAATAGCAAAGTAATAACACACACACATTTTCTGTTTCTGGTTGCAATTAACATAAAGCTAAATAATCCTTGTTATTAAAACTCTATGTATTTAGAGATCCTTGATAAAATCCAAAGAATCTGCAATGTTATTGGTCCTGACCTGGTATCTTTGCTTCAGTCACTTTCTCACCATTATAATTTTTGTTTTTCTATAAATATTTTCATAGTAATTGTTCTGATGAGCTTTCCTCTTAGATACTTTGACTTTATGAATTTAAGCACAGTACTAGATTGGCTGTTAGGTCCTTCATTTTACAGTTGAAATCGTTAGATGTAATCGTAAATTCTACGGTAAATTTCTCCTCTCACACTTCTCGCCTAAGGAACTCTTTTCCAATTTTTTGCTTTCAAGTCAACTTTGATCTTCAAAAATTTAAATGCAAAATCTGTCTTCTTTTATTCTCTCACTTTAATGTTTTTCTTTTTCTCATATTCTTTCACATTCAGTAACACTTGCACTTTAGTGGATTTATTGCCTTGCTTGCAGTGAAATGATTAAAAAAAAAAAAAAAAAGAAAGCCAACTTTTCTCTTTTGCTTAAATACATAAGCAGACACACATTTAACATAACCTGTTTAGACAATGCACAACATAAAAACACACATGCACACAGGTTTTCTCACTCTTTGAATTAATGTACTTACATGTTTCTCTTTATATCCACAAAATCCAACCAAAGAAGTTTGAGATGATAATGTATACACTCATGGTGAGTGACTAGTTTAGATATATTCTCTGCTTCTCACACATTTAAATTTCCTTTAGTGTGTGTGTTTTTTTCCATGTACAGGTACATATTGAAATGTTTTCTTGATATGGATGTGCATACATAGATATATATATATATATATATATATATATATATATATATATATATATATATATATATATGTGTGTGTGTGTCATCCACATACAGGCCTGTTTCACTGCATCACAGCTCATCAGTGCAGCTAGACATCTGATTGCTTCAAGTTGGGGTCAAAAACCCAACTGATTTGGCATCAGTTGGAGTTTCTACTTCTGAGCTATCAGCACATGGCAGAGAGAAACGTAAATTCTAGTATATTACTTTTTTAATGAATGAAACTAAACACCAGACAGCCTTTAGTGCTCAATTTATTTTCAATGAAGAGTATTGCATTAGCAGAGATAGCGGTTGTTTAGAATTACCCCATCTCTCAACAGTGCTCAACTGAATATATATATATATATATATATATATATATATATATATATATATAAAGTGGCAACTCTAGGTTATCAATATGAGTGAAATTTAATTTGCCTTTTTTCAACTGATTCATTGTGCAAAAAAACCTTATACTGTACAGAATAAATTATTTAAAAGCAATAAGTTAAAATAAAAAAAATGTAACCTTTGAAAAACACGGCATACAAGTCAGAGACTTTTAAAAGATTGTAGAAATACATTGCCGATTAAGATTGCCTCCAGCACAGATAGAACTAAGACCTACACATCCTGACTAGTTTATAATTTTATTTCATGCTGTTTTTTGATTTTTAATTTTTTACTTTCTTTCTTCTTTATCATGAACAATATCAACAAAATGTATTTGTTTGGTCACTATTCTGAATTTTGGATCTAAGAATTAAAATGATGCACTACGAAAGATTTTTGTTTCTTTGAAATAGATGTACATGAATATTGACTCACTTGGGCTGAGCCCTACAAACCCAATCGCTGGAGTCGACACTGATATATATATATTTTTATCTGACATTTTTTCTTATCATAAAGGTTATATTTTACATATGGTTGAGTTGACATTCTTGTTATTTTAAACATCATCAAGCTGCCTCAGAAAAGAAGTCATGAAAAATATATCTCCCAAAAAGAATTGAACTTGTATTCCTTTTTTCTATTATGGAAATCACTCCTTTAGTCAAAGTGGGCCATACTAAAAATAATGTTTTATAGTAATAAGAAATACACCCATGCATTAATTTATATATATATATATATATATACACACACACATTTTGAAGCCATCCCCCAGAATTAGCAGGGGTTGAACTTGACAGTGAAAAAAAAAAAAAAATGAAAAAGAGCTTTTAGTCATTGGGGAAAAAGAATGGAATCATCAAATTTATACTTTGAGAAACTTTTACAATGAATGCCAAAAATTTGTGCTGCAGCAATCAAGGTTAAAGGAGGAGATTTTGTTGAGAGCAAAGTTTTATCATAAAATGTTTTTTTTTCTTTTTCATACTAAAATTTATAATAATGAAATCGTGTCTCACTTTTACTTTTTTTTTTTTTTCTTTTTCTTTTTTAATCATGTAAAACAATTACTTTTGGAGCCAATTTAAAAAATTACCAGGTGTGGCCTCAATCTTTAACTGTAGTGTGTGTGTATATATATATATATATATATATATATATATATTTAACATTAATCAGTTAAATGACAAATTTTACTTATTAATCATATATATATATATATATATATATATATATATATATATATATGTGTGTGTGTGTAAGAGAAACCTACTAAAAAAGCTTTCAGCTCTACCAAGCTCTTCTCCCCCAAAAATCTGGTGTTTTGTCATTTGGTCAAATTTTGCTAAGTAGGTTGGACAGAAATGTTATGCTGTGTGTGAATACATACATGCACACACACACACACATATATATATATATATATATATATATATATATATATATATGTGTGTGTGTGTGTCTCTGCATGTATCCACCCAGCATCTTAATTTCGTTATGATGAGTTATCATTTATTTAGAAGTTGCCCATTCAGCTAATGAGTCATCTGTCTGTCATTGTTTTTTTTTTTTTTTTTTTTTTTTTTTTTCACCATTTTTCTCCTTCCCCTGGCCCACACAGATGGTGGGTGGGCAGAAAGTAAAAACATACCCAGGCCAACTTAGAATTGGTGCAGACTATTTTATGTCTCTATTTAATCTTTGATAAGCATATTCTCACATAACTTTTCTACATTAATGTTATCATAATCAAACTTTAAAAAAAGAAAACTTTTCCAGTAACTATTTTTAATAATCTACTATTTGTGTAAAAGTAAGTCTTTTGTTATTATTACCATTACTAGAGCCGTGGTGATCATAGTTCTGATAGTTATTTTTCCATTGCCAAAAGAAGAGATCCTTTCTTTTTATATGGACAGTATACTTGAGGAAATCCATAGAATGGATCATTCAACATATTATTTTGGCAAGGTCAGACACAAAGAAGAGATGAGACTATTAAAATAGAAAACAGCAAAATAATTATTTATACTAGTTTTGACATTTCATTAAAGTTTTGCACTTTGAAACATGTCAGGTTTGCTTTTTATGAGAAAATAAAATGTTTAATATAGGCCATGAATGGATTCTGAAGTCAGAGTGGCAATTTGTACATTTTTTTTTCTCTTTTGCTTTTT